GCTTTCTTTCTCAGGTAATATTACCTTCAATTTTTCTCCAATTGCTTACATGTCTGCTGAATGTTTTGTCTCCTTAGAGCAACAGTACTTTGATGTTGAGAAGAGACTGACAGAGAGTCAGGAACAGATACTTTCTGCCACAAAAGACCTGCAGGTCCTGAAAGAGGAGAATAAAAAACTAAGTGAGTTCTTTTTTTAATCTGTATAACCAGTCATTTAAACTTTAATGTACATTGTAACGTAAAAGTACAACATGTGGACCTGTTTTCTTTCAGATCTTAAGTTCAATGTTTAAAGATTAATAAATGACAGGTCTAAATGGAAAATAATGTCACAAATCTGACTTATGCTCTCTCTACTTTTACCTAACCTTGAGAAACCTTTTTTTTCTGAATATTTATCTCTGTGCAGATGAAGAGCTGAGCACTCTGAAGGGAACAGAGGATGAGTCTAGTGAAGATAAACAACCAAAGCAGGTAAGGCAACAGTAGTTATGCTTGGCCAGCTGACAGGGACACACAAGCTTACTTCAGATATTTAAAAGTTGGCAAAAAAAAATCTAGCTTAATTTATTTTATAGCACATAATTTTGAACAAATATGATTGTTTAAGCTTATTTTTTTGGCTTTGCTCTAAAGCGAACCTTCGTAATTTTAGCTTTGATCACTGATAACAGTAAATGCGATTTATTCTTTATTAATTTAATAGGGGGAAATAATCTTTTCTTTTCTGTGCAGCAAGCAAAGTCTAAATATGAAATTGAGGCGGAGAGGAGAGAACTGGCGAGGCTGCTTGAGAAGAGGACGCAGGAGGTGGAGAACCTTACAGGTAATATAAGCATCACTTTCTCAGTTTAATGTCTTAGGGCTGCCAAACTGAAATCTATGTGGTAATTATGTTGGTCTTCTGTTATGTTTTGAAGACAATTTTCTTATGTCAATATTTTGGTAATAGCTTTTAAAGAACTGCCTTATCTTTTTTTATCATTTGTGTATGTAGAGGACTTGAAACGTCTGAATGAGAAGCTTACAGACACCAGTAAAGTAAAGATGGAGCTCCAGATGAAGCTGGATGAAATACAGTCATCAGCAGCCTCTGTGCAGGTAGTAGAATGGTTGTTATAAAGTAATTTTATCAAAGTCATTATGCGTCTTTAACTGCCTCATGTTCAATCTTAAAACCAATAACTTTGATCACTCTTGTGAAAATGTTATGCTCCCTGTACAGTTTTATGCTGCTTCATTTTGAATAATCATATAAAATCCAACTACATACATTAAAGATTATTTAAGTGGTGTAACAAGGCATTATGCAAAGCAAAAGGGGCTCTTTTTTATTTTTCTTACAAATACAATATTGTAATTGTAGCACAGAGAGAAACGGATGGAGCAGGAGAAAGAGCTGCTGGAGAAGAAAATCGAGTGGCTGACGGCAGAGCTGTCGGAAAAAACCGAGGAGTTACTGAGCACCAACAGAGAGAAAGGCAAGGAGATACTGGAGCTGCAGGGCAGTCTGAAGAGCAGCAACGACCAGGTGAAAAACGACTAAACACAGATGGTTTGATAGATATACAGACATACATTTGGCTTCTATGTGTGGGTCGGTTTTTATTAATCAGTCGTCATTAGAGACATGATTCTGCTCAGATAACAGCGCTTACGCGTTGTGTTGTTTCTCTCCAACAGGTGACCAGGCTTGAAAGTCAGCTTGCCTCTCTGAAAGAACTGAGTGACAGCCAAAGCAGGAGAGCTGACGAGCTCAATAACAAACTCAAACAGGTAAAACTGAGTTTGAGGTTTACAACTAACACTAGATATGGTTTTCAGAATTAAAAAGATACAAAACATTTAATATCCGAAAGCAGCAACATTATTGCAAGGTGTAAAAACATAGTCTTCGGTAATGTGAAGATGGCAAAATGTATTTACATAGAGGAGACATATCAATTGTTAACTTAATTTTGTTCTTCTCTCTCCTAAATGTTTTCTTTTTTTTTTCTTTACCTATTTTCTACTATTTATCCTTCAAGGCGAAGGACGAACAGTTTGCTATGGAGGAGAAGTATCGCACTGAGCTCAACGCCCATGTCAAACTGTCATCACTCTATAAGGTCAGAGTCACCTTGAGTACGAAATGATATTCAATAAATCACAATGCCGTCACCTTTTTAATTCCCTGATGCTAATGTTGGTCAGAGGCATGTAACACCCTTTCCTTTCTCTAGGGTGCAGCAACTGACATGGAGACTAAGAACCAGGAGCTGAGCAGGGCAGTGGAGGAGCTCAGCAAGCTGGTTAAAGACACAGGAGAAGGTAGGAGGCTTCAGCTACATCCCTCCATATGCTAAGCTTCACTAATGAGCTGTAACGGACTGATGTTGTGTCTTTTCAGCCAATAAGACTCTGGAGAAGAAAGTGTCAGATGCTGCAGAGCAAAAAAAGCAGCTTGAGGCGGAACTTGGAGAGAAGATCAAGAAAATGGAGAAGGAGCTGGAAAATGCAGTAGTGAAGGCTGCAGGCAAACACTGCTGTATGTACCTGCACTTTCTCTAACTTGTAGACATCCTATGATTAATGCCCGTTTGTGCTGGTAACAGTGCTGATCCTGCTGCTTATGTTTTTACCACTGCAGGCGGTTCTTCTCTGACAGAAGAACAGTTAGACGCTCTGTGTCCATCAGCTGCTGCCATCGCTGCTATTGTCAAGCCCGGAATGAAGTTTTTCGATGTAAGTTATAAATCCAGTAAAGATTTGTAGATTCCTATAAAGCACCTTGCAAAAATGCACAGACCAACAAGGAGTAGAGCATAGATGTGTTGCCAATTTATAGAAGATGTGCGATTTATGAAGTTTAGAAATTGAAATCTAAACATTATGCATAATATGTTAAACTGCCTCTTCATGGATTGGATTTGCAGTTTGTATGTGATGTCTGCACCAGCTTTCTACATATGGAGACTTCAGTATTGTCCCTATCTGCTTTGCTTAGTAGAACAGATTCAGTCAAATTTGACTGAGTGTCTTAAACATACATTTTCAAAAGTTTTGCCACTAATGTTCAGTTTGATTAAGGTCTAGATGTTGACTGGGCTGTTAGAAAGCATTAGTATGCTTTAATCATGACCATCCATTAAAGCCCTGCTTGAACCTCCTTTCCAGTCTAAAGGTGTTTGCAGCCTTTATCTGGTGTTTCTTCCATGATCGCTGTGTATTTAGATTCCTCCATTCTACCTTCAACTCTTGATTCATTGCCTCCCTTAAAGAAAAGCAACCTCCATGTTTTACAGTAAAGATGTTGTCTTCAGGACAATGTTAGTTTTCCTTCTCATTTACTCATTTAGTTTTCTAGAGGAAGTATCGCCTCTCGTCCAAGAGGCTTTTACAGTTCTGACTGAAGGGGTAGGGATCTCTCCACCACCAGTTAGAACTGAAGCAGATTCTTCCACCTGTGTCGTGGATCTTCCCATTGATCCAGAGATATCATATAGCATCTTTATAGCCGCTTTCCCGAATAACTCCTTTTTCACCTTTCTTTGCCTTTTATTAAACCCTTTCCATTCTTTGATGATTAATCTTACTGCATAAAAAAAGCTGTAAATGGATCAAATCCCAGTGGTTCTTTAATGACTAACGTTGGGACTAATGATTGAAGTTATCTGCACAGGATTTTATTTTGTGACATCAGAATAAAGACGGCCTTATACAATTGGATCTTCTACTCAAGAGTTCTATTCCCATAGACATTTAAAAAAAAGGTTTTCAACCCTGAAGAATAATTTCTCTTTCACACAACACTCATTCTTTACTATGCGTTGGTCTGTCCTAAATCCCATTAACAAGTTCTCATTTTAATTATAATGAGACAAAAGGAACCAATTGAAGCAGTTTAATTACTTTTATCAGGGATTTCTGTCTGTTTGCTTTGGCAGGACTCCACATTTTATTGTTTGTGACCATTATAAACATATATTATTTCTTAATTTCTAATCACCTGATTATTGTTTATTTTTGTACGTTCTAAAATGCGATCAATGAAGTTATGTGTGTTGTAGACCTTTTAAACTGGCACAGGCCAGTGGAGCCTGGCTCTTTAATCTGTCACCTTTCTGAATAATTTTTCCCTGCTATGTTTTCTTCGTAGCTTTATAATGCATATTCAGAGTGCCAGACCCAGCTGCTGCTTGAGAAGCAGGAGACGAGGAGGGTGAGCAAGGTCCTGGATGAAATAGTCCAGGAGGTGGAGTCCAAAGCACCTGTACTCAAGCGGCAAAGAGAGGAGTATGAGAGCATGCAGAGGTCAATGGCATCCCTGTGCAACAAACTGGAACAAGCTCGAGCTGTGGGTTTGAATGATTTGTGCATAAATGTATCCACACTTGAGTAATTTTCATAAAAATATTCAATAACTTTTTTCTGCTATCAGGAGATCTACAGTCTGCAGAAAGAGAAGGATGAGGCCAAACAAAGCTTTCAAGCAATGGAGAGAGATAAACTCAAGGCAGAGAGATACCTGGAGGACACTTCTACACAGGTATGCTGTGCTTCTTTTAACTCGATGGCAGTAAGATAAAACTCCAGTTTTAACGTGTTAATCTTCCCGGTCCAGCTTTGTAATCTTCTGTTAGAGTTGGAAGTAGCACGCGGTAACAGGGTGTCCAAAGACGACGGCAGCTCCTCCGACATTTCCAGCACCTCAGAGGTGAACAGCTCAAGCTTGCTGTCGTTCCGCAGTGTGATGGAGCTGCAAACACAGAACCAAAATCTGCTGGGGAGACTACGAGAGCTAGAGGAGGAGAAGAGCAGAGAACAGGCCAGGGAAACAACAGCACGGTAAGGAACCCTATCAGTGTATTTTTTGTATGTTTTACAGAAGTGCTGAGAAAGATATTTTTTACTTTTTACCTGTTGTAGCGTAACAGAGCTGCAGTCCACGGTGGATAAACTCCAGAAGGAGGTGGAGCAGCTGAGAGAGCAGAGGAACCAGCAGAAACAGCTAGCAGACTCCAACGCTAGGCAGAGAGACATGTTCAAGGCACTGCTGACTCAGAGCACAGGCTTCAGCCTGCCTCCTCAAGGTGACATCAGAGAAAGAAATGTTTTCTTCTCCTCCAGTTGGGAATTTTTGGTGGACTAGCAGTTTTGTGATTCACAAAATGGAAATATTAAAACAAGAAAATAAGTTGTTTAAAATGTCATTGTTAGATTCAAAGGAATGTGAGACTAATAGATGGGATGTTCTCCTTTGGCCTTTATTAAAAGGATAATATCCTGATGTTTTTCTTACAGGTCAGGAGTCTTCTCCCCATCCTCCAGCCCCCGTTACTCGCTCCACTCCTCAGAGAGCCGCTGCTGCAGAGTCGACGCAGACTGCTCAAACAAAAGCTGCTCTAAAACAGGTAGGCATTGTCAGCAGTAGGTTTTTTTTTTTTTTTTGGTAAATTTTATTTAGACTGTTAACATGGTATGGGAATCCATTTGTTGGTCTGAGTGTAAATTTGTTTACTTCCAGCTCAATGATGCTTTCACCTTGTATAAGAAGGAGAAGGCTGAGAACGACCGAATGCTGAATGAAACAAATGACCGCTTGCAGAGGCAGCTGACAGAGCTCCGCTCCAGCCATGCCAAACTCACCTCTCAGCTCAACTTCAGTAACAAGAGGTGCAATTAAACTTAGAAAAAAAGCTATAAAATCTGGTTTTCTCTATTTTCACTTTGTAACAAACTGTTTCCGTCCTCGGCTCTCAAAATTGTTTCCCTGTTATTTATCAGGCATGATATTCTTCAAGAAACTGTATTGGCGTACCGCAGAGAGATCACTGCTCTACAGACGAGCAACCAGAAAATGACGGCCACCGGCCAACGACAAGAGCACATCATCCACACAATGATCCAGGACCTACGAAGGGCTAATGAAAAATTAGCACTGGAGCAGGTGAGGAAGAAGAGTTTTGGGAGACAGTTCTCAGTTCAAACTGTAATCTGTATCACCTTTAGACATTTTATACTTGATTCTCAAATTGGTTTAAGAGATTCAAACATTATAAAAACTGGTTACAGTCTAACTTGCTTTGTACTGATAATTCAAGCATGGATCTGAGATCTAAAGTAATGTCATAAGTATTTGGTGTGACTTAATTTTCATTAAGACTTATTTAAGCAACTGGTTGGAATAAAACAGAGCACTCTTCTATTAAAACAACTAATTCTCTTTAAATTGAATTAATTGTAGATTTTCTGTTAATTCTACATTTTTTTTTTTTTAAACCTCACTTTAAGTGAAGTCTTATCCATATTTTAGCGAATAAATGTGCTTGACAATACTTTTAAAATACAGTTTTTTTTAGATTTGGGTGTCATATTAGACTTTTTAAAACCTCTCTGATTACATTTTTTTGTATGTTTTTTGTTTTATGTTTAACAAAGCTAGAAGGCAATTTTCAGTTAGATTAAAACAGGTTAAGTGCTTTGTCTTTGATTCTTAACTGCACCGTACAGCTTTCTCAGATTTGGTTTATGTCAAAGGAATCAGTAACCGGCAACTCCCCACTCTGCAACAGAATACTTTGGATTTATTGTTGTTTGGATTAATTTCACAGTTGATAAACCAACAACTGTGTTAAGCTTTTCTTTGCATGTCTACATCCTGTCTTTTTTCTTGTTCTTCAGGCGCGTGTGGAGAATCTGACCAAAGAGAGAGACATGTTACGACAGGCAGAGCATCGCCTCAATAAAGAAAAGGAAGCTGTTCTGGCCGAACAACGCAACCAGAACCTGCTGCTAACCAACCTCAAGAGCATACAGGTATCAGCCCAAATTACACTGTTCTCCTTTCCTCATCAACAGCCTGTTCAATAGCAGCTGCCTATACAAGCATGTTGGTGATGTTTAGGATTAATCATAATTACATTTATCTAAGTTTATTAGCTGTTGATAAATATATATTTTGAATCTCCTTCCTTCCTTCCTTCCTTCCTTCCTTCCTTCCTTCCTTCCTTCCTTCCTTCCTTCCTTCCTTCCTTCCT